ACCACGACATCCGCCAGAAGATAACCACAGTATGGAATGGTTAGTCCATTAGCTGCCGTCAGGCGCATGCATGTGTCAGACCTCAACCTATGGTCTTTTCCTTTCATCCATTTGGTGTAAAAATTTTCCGTGATTGTCGTCACCTGGGAGCCTGTATCCACAATTGCCTTCACCGCGATGTCCCCAATCGTAATCACCATTTCTGGACAGACTCCCATCATTTTGCTTCTTGGGCCATACCCTCGCCCCTCTGTAGCCTGGCCCTGCCTTACAGAGGACGACCGTTTCCCTGGCAGTACCGTGCCATATGTCCGGGTTGTGAACAAGACAAACAAATTGGTCGACCGTCGGCCGTCCATTGGAGTGATGGCTTGGCAGGACGCGGCCGTCCAACCCGTCCCTGTTTTGTCCCGTTCTTTTCCTGATTCTCAGCTGTTGACCTGCTTTCTAACCTCTCCAAACGTTGGTCAACCTTATCTAGGTGGGCCAACAGTTGAGCCATCATGGTCTCCATCGTGTCGGCCCCTGTGGGTGGGGATTGTCTCTGTTCAGGCACCGAGACTTTGTCCACCGAACAGTTCGATTGGTCCTCATCCTCGGACCTGCGGATCGCTGAGTTCCTGACCTGAAGGAAGGTCAACTGCGGGTCTTTGTGGACCTCCTCTTTCAACTCTCTTCTTAGGATCGGGGTTGCCAGCCCCTCAATGAAATGGTCCCTCAGTAGGCGCACATCAATGTCAGGTGTTTTGACCTTTACCGAATCAAAGGCCCTGTTCATCCGGTGTGAGTACTCCATCACACTCTCCGCCATTCTCTGCCTTAAGCCTACGAACCCTGCCAGCAGTTGCGATCCCGACCGTCTCTCCCCAAAGGTCTCCATAATCAGATCCAGCACCTTATCTGGATCTGATTGGGTGGTTTTATCGTGGCATTTTACCTCTGCCCTGACCGTCTCTCCTATACTTCCCATCAGCAGTCTTAATCTTTCCTCTGGTGACATATATCTTGAGGCCCAGGCCGCTTTGACCTCTTCACTGAACCTGTTGGTTAAAGTTGGATCCCCGTCCCCGTAAAATTTGTTAATGTGGGACTCTCTGGGTAGGACCACTATATGGGTCTGCTTCTCGTCCAGAGTAGACATTTTATCCCGTAAGTAAAACAAAAGAGTTCTTTCTTACCGTGTGTGTATGAAAAAATTTTCCTCAATTTTCACAGTTCCTGAATGTCCGAATTCACATACACCCAAAACACAGTTATGCACAAGGTTGACTATGGGTGCCTCAACCGGCAAGTCTAGTTGAATTCATCCTGATCGCAGCGCCAAATGTGACCTTCCCCGAGTCTATCCTGCCCGACAACGCCAATTGTAACGAGTTGAACCACTCATGCTACACAACATCGACTACAGTAGAAAGACTCGAAGATGCAGGTTCGCTATTGATCCTTTTATTACATGAATCAAGAAATGCTTCAATATAACACAATGAATCAACAGGAATGTTTCACAATAATAGTCTGAATCAACTGACCCCTAACAGTCCTCACTAGGCTTCATATAACTGAATCCACATGTCTATTGTCCTTCTTAACACAATATAACCAACTTGATATGTCACACAGACTGACTGATCTAAAGCGAGCGATGAAGAGGGAAGAGAACGAGTTCAACCGTCCCCTCCTATTTATCCCTTGTATCCGTACTCGTCCTCGTACTTGTATTCCTCCGTAATCGATACTTGTACTCGATGTCTCCGACCACTAGTTGCGCAGTTCTAACGTACAGTCCGTGAAATAACATCTGCATCCTATCAATCAAAGTTGACAGGCTGTCTGAATCCCCTCGTACCGTTTCCCAAAATAGCACGCGTTGGCTTTGAGATTGTTATCAGTCCGATCCAATAAGCCACCTGCTATGTTGCATCAGACTGTAATACTGCGTCTCGGCTTATCGTTCGTTATCAGATTTGTAACTAGTGGCTAGGCCTACCCTAGTCACATATATTATATATATATATATATATATATATATATATATATATATATATATATATATATATATATATATATATATATATATATATATATATATATATATATATATATATATATATATATATATATATATATATATATATATATATATATATATATATATATATCAAAGGCGTAGCGACGGGTGGGCAGGGGCGCGCCAAAATGGGTTGGAAAAACAAATTGAAAGTTTGAAGGGGGTTGCAAATTGAAAGTTTGAGGGGGGGGGGGGCTGCAAGTTGGAAGTTTGAGGGGGGGTGCAAATTAAAAAATTGAAAGGTTGTTACCGAGGGGGGCGCCAAATCGAAAGTTTATTCCCGGGCGCCGGGAAGGGTCACTATAACTCCTCTGATATATATATATATACAGTAGCGTACGCAGGGGGGAGCAGGGGGAGCGACCGCTCCCCCTCTGGCCATTTTCAGCAAAGTGGCGCCTTTTTGGAAACTTTTTAAAGTCAAATTTTTAAACAATGATATTTGTTAAAAAATATTTTTGGTCGGCACATCTATGTAAATCACAAGATTTTTTTTCATGCAGCAATTAAGCATTATTTTACTAGTCTAGTAGTGTCTACGTTTACAACACGTATTAACAGCTGCATCAGTTTGCCATTCTAAAAATAACCATTACGACGCATTGCAATGTTTAAAAAACCTCTACGGGTAGTACCACTTGGCAAGAGGGGTTTTAAGTTTAAGGCAACTGTATAATGTATTTGCTTACGAATAATTGAATTAGAAAATGTTATACATAAAATTTCACACATAATTACTTTATATTTACAGTTTGAATCGTGTGATTATTTTTTTTTAAAATTACAATACAGAAACAAATACAACTGATGTGGCACCTCTTTTTAAATTTACTGATGAGCAAACTGCGTTTTGGTGGGGAAATTTTGACTAGGTCAACAATGTCATCACGATGAAGTAGTAGTATTCTTACAATTTGGGCGATAGTGATACGATTACAAATTATATGAAACAGTTACAACCCCCCTCCTCATGGACCCGTCTGTAAAAAAATATTGTCATAATACCACTGCTACTTATTTAAATCTATTTCTGTAATATATATTTGTGTAATATATATTTGTGTAATATATATGTATGTTTAGAACAGTCATCTAAAACTGTTCTAAAAACTGACGCTATGTTCACTCTGAGTTGGTTATCTCCCCCCCCCCCCCCACACACACACCTCACCACCACAATTGTGTAGAGCGACATTAATGGTATACCCAGCGGCGTAGCGAGGTCGGGTGTCACCCGGTGCGGCACTTAATGGTGTCACCCCCCAGAGGCGTAGCGACCCTTCCCGGGGACAAACTTTCAAATTTTCGATTTGCACCCCCCTCAAACTTTCGATTTGCACCCCCCCTCAAGTTTTTCTCTATATATTTTGCTATTTTTTGCCTTGGTTTCACCCCCCTAAATGGTGTCACCCGGTGCGGTCCACACCCCCGCCCCCCCCCCTCACTACGCCCCTGGGTATACCTACGTATACACTGGGTTGGATAATTGACCTAAAATGACCGGACAGTGGTGAATTAAGTTGAACCCACAACCCCCCCCCCAACCCACCCCGAACTGATCTGTTAAGTACATGTAGAAAAACGAGTAGTGATGTACCAAAGTACCATGCCGCCAAAAAACTTAGCTTTTTAAACGTAAAACTCTGTGAATATTGTTTTTGCAATTACCAGTAAAAAGGTGTGTGATCAATACAGTGATCTAACCCATAGCTATCACTATGTTAAAAATGATCTTTAAAGAACACAAAGTAGCAGTAGTTATTTAAAAATATATGATCTGAACTAAAAGACAGATATTTAGTTAAATGTAGGCTTTTATTTTGAATGTTTTCTGTTATATCGAAAAGCGTGCTTTTTATACCAACTCTGATTTAAAAAACTTTCATTATGCTGTAATACTTTAGCATTTATGATGACAATATATTAAATTATGATTATAGACAAAAACATTTTGTAAAAACGAATAGTGTTAAACAATTTGATTATATTCTTAAGTAATTATTTATTTATTTTGACATTTATAATTGAATGTGTAGATATAGGCTATACATATTTATATTAAGAGAGTGATTATTTCCCCTATTTCACTTGTCTTAAAAAAATTCACAGGAATTATTATATAAGAAATTAGTTTACAAGAATTACAAAACAGATTGTGTTACGTTCATTGTTTTTGGTTGTAGTGTGTGTAGATTTCTTTTGTTTTTGTTTAGATTGATACAATTTTTGTTTTGTCGGACTACATTGTGTGTTTTTTCTTATTTCTTCAGAGTGCTATTTTCAATTTATTTTACATCATAGCGAAGTAATGACATACAGCTAGTAATTATATATACATATATATATATATATATATATATATATATATATATATATATATATATATATATATATATATATATATATATATATATAGAACGCGTTAAAAATTCGGCGCCTTTTTTTGCTCTTTTCGCTCCCCCTACAACGAAAACCTGGATACGCCTCTGTATATATATATATATATATATATATATATATATATATATATATATATATATATATATATATATATATATATATGTATGTATTACAGTATGGCGTATTGGCATAACATTTTAAACCATCCCACTCCCATGACCTATCCCCGGCTACGCTACTGGATGTTATTTAACGTTGTTTGACAACGCAGGGGTGGGCAGGGGAAAATGATATTTTTTCTATTTTTAATACACCTTTAATATTTGATCGCTGTGTGTAATACAGGGAGTAGTAGCTGGAAAGCTAGACTTAAAATATTTTGTCAATCGCTTTAAGATAAATATTGGAAATACAGCCAAATGTTAGTTGAGTGGTTAGAATGTGAGAATAATTATGAACATATAGCCTCATCAGGAAGGGGAAAAACTTGTTCCATTTCCGTTGTGACATGCGCAGTATCGTATTTATTAAAAAGTGTCGATGGAAAATAGAACTTCTGCATATCCCAGTACGGTACATAACATAGACTAGACGGAACAAGGTAGATTTTAGCATAGTTCATTGAGGTAAGCTTTTAGATTTCTCAATAGCTTATCAAGTTCGGCGTAATGTTACACTAGAAATATTAGTTTTTATTGCTATATTATTTAGTAGGCCCTATTAAATATGAATATTAGACTTAACTTAAGACTCCAGAAAATAGTAAAATGCCGAAATTGTGGAAAAAAGGGGGGAGGGGTTGGGTATGGACCGTCAACATCAAGTTTTAGTCTGTTTTAGGCCCTGCCCTAGGCCTATTTATCATTTTTAATTTTTAAGTATTGAAATATGGCGTAAGGCAATAATATTAATCCGGCATATTGTTAATATTTTAAAATGCGTAGGCCTAGAGATCACATTGAAATAGATAGAGTCTGATAGAGTTAGAGAGAACCATTGAAAATTGAAGTGAAGTTTAGTCAAGTTTAGTGTAGTAGTGTAGTGTAGTGTAGAGTTACATAGAGTACTACTGTAGCCAGTGAGTAGAGTCTAGTCTACTCACAGTACTCTTACTCACTCTGTGACTCTACTCTAGCTGCCTAGCAAGAGTAAAACTAGAGTTGTAAAATGTAGGCCTATGCATTAATTATAATAATTAATCATTATTCTATTAGGTAATTGTTGAGTGTTGAATATTTATTCACGAAAATAATTTTTTGTAAGGCCACTGCTAGATCTAGATTTCTATTCTAAATCTAAGTAGGCCTAAATTACTAGACTGGGCCTAGTCAAGTTGATTTTAATAATTTAGTCTTGACTTAGGCTTAGGCCTATGGCCTATACTATTTCTAGATCTAGCTAGATCTACTATTTATTTTCTAGTTAGACCATCTAGATTATAGAATTAGAATCATTAGGTTCTACTTAGAATCTAATAGAATCTAATTGTTAATTCTCATGTAGATCTATGTCTATGCAATGTTTTTTTTAACGAAGTGACTACTCGGAAGAAGATTTTTTCCCCAACGTCTCCACTTAGTCTGCAAAAGATAGCTCTGCGCATGCGCAGTGACCTAAGGTTAGGGATAGGATTAGGGCTTAGGGTTGGTGTTAGGGTTCTGTGGTTGTAAACACACGAATGCGCAGTACCATCGAAAACATCGCCGCGATGGCAAGTCGTAGTTTCTCTCCATTGCGCATGCATATCTTTTTCCGGCTAGCATCGGCCTTTTATTAAAGGCCTACTACTACTACTACTTACTTAGTTAGATTCTAGATCCTACAATAGACCTAGATCTACTTCTAATACTTACTTTTACAATTATACCTAGGCCTATATCTAGTAGATCTATTTTGTTATTATTGACTTTGTCTATTTAAATTATTTAGGCCTAATAGTCCTGTTTATTATTTAGGCCTAATAGTCCTATTTATTATTTAAGCATAATCTTCTCTTGTTTGACAAGTCTTAGAGATATGCCATTAGGTGGCCTAAGGCCTAGATTGTATCAAATTTCTTCTTCTGTCCCATAGTCTGGTACTCTACTATACTAAACCAAGCGTATGTGGACAAATGCTTCGCCACTTTCTTTCTTCTGATTGTATTCCTCTGTTTGACTCTCTATTCTACCAACCTAAGAATAAGTGCCTCTCCCATTGTCAAACCTGTTTCCTTAATTTGTCTTTGTTAAGTTAAAAAAAATAGGTCAAAATATCTTCCCAATAAAATTGCTATGTTACAATTTATTGCATTTTCATAGACTATAGACTAGATCTACATGATTATACATTTCTTGTCTGAAGACTATAAAATCACACAAAATTCAGATAACTATGGATTTGAATTAAGATCTACACTTCAGCGTTATTATTAAATTTGCTGATTTGAAATATGAGACATTACACATTATAATGCAATTAGAGACCTAGGTTATTCTAATTTCATATCCACATATAAAATGGCTATATTGTTTAATTTAATATTTCCAAATGTATAAATATATATAGCATAAAGATTAGTATTTCATTTCAAGGGAATGGTTCAGTTATTGTCAAATATCTATATCTAATTTTATACCTTCCTTAATTGGCCTTAATGCAGGTGGTAGTCATCATATCTTAAGAAACATTGTTATTGTTGGCAAAAGGATCCCTGTCACATGTAAATGCATTTTATGTAAGCTAGACAAAATTGTAAGTTGGATAGTGTTTCTTGCTCCTAATAAAATATGAACCAAATAGCGTAACATATTATATTTTATAATAATTCTTTAAACAAAAATTGCATCAGCATGCTATTCATACATCAATAATTGTATGGGTTCTATTTGCTATATTGCCAGTAGTTTATTGACATTATTGCTAGCTACTTCTAATCTAAGGCAAGTTTAAATCATTAAGTTAAAGGGCTTACCCAAAATAATTGTTGTTTTTCTTGCCATATCTAGTAAAGAATTTTATGTCAATTTTTTTATACATTAAGTGGAAATAGTTAGCCTTACCTAGATCTATATAATCTATATGGCAGGAAACAGATTAGTACCGCAAAATGCATATTCGGTCTTCGCCGTTCATAAACTTTCTAACCAGACATCGTTCGGGGATTTTGTTTATACTGATAAATAGAGCAAGGTTTTTACAAGCTTCGTTAGCAACATTTTTGTGGAATTCGTTTTTTATGACATTTTGTGCCGCGGCGAAGGATGCGAAGTATGCAAATCTAGACGGAATGGATCTACTTGGAAAGTACGTGTACTGCACTAATGAGGTAAGAAATAATATTTTGTAAAAATAACTATTATTTTTTTATGGATTTTTCATTAGAAATGATTGCTGTAAATTATGAAAGTAAAAAAAAAGTATATTTGAATGCGTTTTTTACTTTAATTTGAACAAAATGACTGCCGAAAATTACGACACATCGGCGTCGCTGAAAGCGGGAATTTCAGTTAATTTTTTACGGATATAAAATTGTATTTTTTTACTCCGAAGCATGTATTTAAATAACAGTTAAGTTAAATCTATTTAATTCTGTAAAATATAATTATTATTTTGCCGTAGATACTTTTTTTTATATTTTTAATGATTTTCTGTCGCGGAAAATCGGTATTCGCACCATGCACGCACACGTAGTAAAACTAGACTTATCTTTAAAACACGAGAATCTTGAGTACACTGCGAATAACAAAGTTTTTAAATTTTAGTTTACTTTTGACTTTAAGCCATTTGTTTTAAATCGAAATTAATTGATAATGTAATTATTTCAAAGTAAAAATTTTCCGTCGCAAATTGGGTTCTAACCTTCGCCACTGAACCAGCCTACGCACGACATTCGCGCGAGTCTGTTTCTTCGCAATAGTCTTGTATAGTGTCGAGGGCTAATTCTAAAAAGAATCGAGTCCTTACTATTAACTAATCTAATGTTTATTAAAATTAGGTACAATTGTTGGAACGCATGAGAAATAACAAATTAATATTTCTTTAAATCTATAGCCAAAAGAAAGTAGAACTTTATAACTCTGTAAATTATGAATCGAGTGACGGCTGTCGTGAAAACGGGAGCCATTTTACTCTTTTTTTTAGGTTGACCTACTTTTATTATATAATTTTAAAATTCATCGATTTGATAAGCAGCTGAGTAGCTGACTACGCATGCGATATGGCTGGCACGTTTTGGGATAGGGATCGAGTACACCATAGAATTTTTTTTCTTAGAACTATGCGTATTTTTTTTTTAAATCAAAAGATACTTACATATCAGTTGTTGATTTCAATTTCATTATAGATCTAATCACTAACTTCAGTTTTTAAAAGTGATTTTGCTTCTAGAACTAGCGTATTTTCAAAATTACGTAGATTCTAAATCTAGATCTATTCACTTACTATTTGACAACCGTGTCAGTAAAATGAGGTCACCGCTTCCAGATTCTTAGGTTTTAATTATGTTTGTCATTTTGATCTATTATAAGTAGCATTAAAACAACTGCATCTATTATCAACATTGTTTTTATATGCCAGTTCTAATTATACATTCTGTTCATTACCAATTCTAATGAAATCGTATCAGGCCCTAACACCCTGTTCACCTACACTGACACTACACTTGAATGACGCCACAGACAGTCGTAACTTTAAATTAATGTTCAAAGTACTAAACAATTATAATTAGCCATGTAAATGCTGCAACTATATTAAAAATTGGCATATAGACATATTTTATTAATTATGTTTTTTATATAGACCTTCTATATTTAACTCTGTTATTTTTTTCTTCCCCAGAGTGTTTCTAAAAGCCAGAATTTTAAAGGGGAGGGCGGTCGTTTTTTTTCTCAAGAATAATTATAGAAATAAGCTATAAACTGGTATATTTTGTAAAGTTTGACATAATTACAAATAAATGTATGCCTAAGTGACATTTCTGTGTAATTATATCGTTAATTTTGTGAATTTCGTGGATTTTTGGACCTCACTACATTTAGATGTAAAAAAAATCTCAGTTGAGTGAGTGTGGTTAATCTACATTTTGAACGTGATGTAAATGTCTAGTGCTATTAATTTTTATATTTTTGAATTCCTCGATTGTTAAGCAACAAAATTGATATATAATATGTCAATATTTGTTACTTTGAAAATTGGCGAAAATCGACCCTAAAAGTAGATGCTTGAGGGTTGAATCTGTTTCCTGCCCTATATATAATTCTCTGCTTGGAGACATTAGAAACAAGCTTCAAGCAAGCCTAGCAGTCCACTCTCTTCCTCTCTATCACTACCACCCACACCCCCCACATGGTCTGGTGAGCTGTGGTTCGCGCTAAATGTTTACAATTGTAGAGCCGGGTTTAGTGATGGCTATTAGGGGCAGATAATTAAGTTTGAAACGATTTTAAACTTAGAGGAGGTAACTAAGAGGGGGCTGCTTTCACGGGGGGGGGGGGGGGTATAGGGTAGGGGTTGGAGGAGGGGAGGTTAGTGTTTTAAAGCAAATATTTTCAGTGGCAGCATTGGTACTGTTGAATTCACAAATTATGAATTACTGAAAAGTAGAAAATAAAACAACTAAAGCGGGTCGGCTCGTTACATTATATTATTTATATGGCCTATATTGCAGACATTTTGTTTAAATATGTTACTGATACTAATTATTTATATTAATAACCCAAATTTTTGTAGATGAAAGTGAGTAACTAAAGTGGATACAGTTTTGCTTGTCTTCCAATTTGCTTTTAAAAACCTACATTTGTTTGTCTTATAAATATGAAAAAATTGCCAGCAGCATTTCTCTCTCTCTCTCCACCCCACATCCTCCACTTGTGTTTTTAGTGAAGTGCAGAGGCGTAGCGACCCCTCCCGGCGCCCGGGGCGAACTTTCAGTTTGGCGCCCCCCCTATATATATATATATATATATATATATATATATATATATATATATATATATATGCGTGTGTGTTTGTGTGTGCGACAATCTGGAAAAAAATTAACAATTACGCTTATTGTCGTTCACTAAAACGTCACTGGACGCCAATCAAATTCCCCTTAAGATGCCGAAACGAATAAATAGTAGAAAATCAAATGAGCTTAGAACAGTGGGCTCCATCGAACCCGAGAGGTTCGGTAATTCAGTCTCAGGGTTTCCGCGGAGGTCAAGACACACACCCGACTCATTTGATTCACGATCGGATTATGTTATTGTGGACGATACACAACTATTAATAAGGAGGGTTCGGTGATTTCGCATATGAAACTGGTGGGGTTCGGTACTCCAAAAAGTTAAGCACCAATGCTTTAGAGTGTATTTTGTAGAAGGTGCAAGCCTTATTTGGTCTACTTTTGGTCGTGTCTTTAGAACAATTTCGATAACAATAGGCCAATATTGCAATTTTGAATTATCAGTTATGTTGAACAAAGTAATAATCAGTAGAATATACTAATTTTCTTCTCTCTTAAAATTTTGGCAAAGAGTGTCGCTTCCCATCCACCCGCTCCGACAGTCTGCTATTTTACTGATCGGATAGCGATACAAGAATCCGTTATATTTTTTTTTTCTTTAATGCAGTGATCCAGGCAAGATGTAATGCAATCAAGTAAAAGTATCTGATCTCTCACGATCAAGCTGAGAGAATCGTAAGAATCGTACAAAGAACTAGTCGCGTTGTTACTTAGCAAAAGTGTGTAGTGAAATCGTACATTAAGTGTTAATACAATTGGTTTCTTTTCTAAGTGTTAAAAGAGTTATCTAGTAACCGATCCAGTACAAATCCTGAGATTTTTGTTAGTGAAAAAGAGCCCCACCATTTTGGACAAAAATGGTAGAGCGGATTTTAAACGTCACTAACTCATTTTTATGTTACACAATCGTAAAATACGCTTTAGTTCAATTGGTTTCTTTTCTGACTGATATCGGTTATTTATTCCTTAATCCGGTGTGAATTTTTCCGATTTTAGTCTTCGAAAAAGTGCCCCCCCCTGCCCCATCTAGGAAAGCTGGAAAGCGGTTTTTCCAGTCACTGTTTCTTAAAGATAAAGTTTTACAGTTACACAATCAAGGTGGAAAACAGTTAAATCAGTATGCTAAGTCTCTCAGCCGTTAAATTTCTTTACTTTGACTGTTTATAACTCAAAACTGCAGCTTGAAATGAGCTTTTAATTTTTTTTCTACCCCTTTTGGCGCCCCCCCTAGGGTCGGCGCCCGGGGCGGCCGCCCTCCCCGCCCTCCCCTAGCTACGCCTCTGGTGAAGTGTATTGTCTAAAAGTATTAGGAGTCCATATAAACGTTTTTATTCTTCTATAGCTTCTTCCCTGTTCTTCATTATCTAACCAACTCCAGGGTACTCATTGCTATTTTTACAGACAAATTGACAGGCATGCAAGTTAGTTCTTGTAGGTTTTATTAAATACTAGGTGACTGGCTGATGTTTTTACTAAACTCATTGTGTTAAAATTATTGTTGTGTGTTGAAACTATTTTCTCATTAATTTTTGTTCTTCATACTGTTGGACATTTTGTTTCCAAAACTTTATATCAACGGAGAGGAACCTCATTTAAAAAAAGGTAGGTTAGGGGCACACAATGCCAGAGTCGTTCAATAGTCAGCTGGGATCATTATGTTACACCATTTCTCCTATTGCAATAGTTCCAAAAGTCGCCACACTCGTCACCATGATTGATTTTATTTTCGATTCTTTACATCACACTGGCGAAATTGTGGTACAATCAAAAGGTTTTCACGCACGACAAGCATAGATTGGTACTGTACTGTGATCTGATATAATCAAATATAACTTAGATGGCAGCTATTTGAACTATGTTACCATCTACAGTTAGTTGTTACTAGGCTTGCCCTGTACTATCGGCAACCTACATTAAAATTTCTTGTTGAACTTTTCTCACTGGTCACCCATTTCATATAGCCAAGCAGTCCGAGGCCACAGAACATGACACACTTCCATTTTATTATCTGGTCTAATTTAACCGTATTTTACTAGTGCCATTATGCACAGTTTAAGGCCTGAAGTCAGAGGCGTAGCGACCCTTCCCGGTTTGGGACAAATTTCGATTTGCACCCCCTTCAAACTTTCGATTTGCACCACCCTCAAACTTTCGATTTGCACCCCCCAACTTTCAATTTACTTTTCCAACTCATTTTGACATATGTCCCCCCCCCCCCCCCGACCCCCCACTCGCTACACTACTGCCTGAAGTAGGCGGTACAGCATCCGTACACCCCCACTGTACACTCCATCTCTGTTGGTGCTTTGTAAAAGCGTTAGACAGCCCAGCAATGTAAAAGATAATTTCCCATCTGTTGATTGAACTACTTGAAACGATTCCAATCTGTATTCAAACACATCTTTGAACTGCGTTATTGGGCAGTGGTTTTCAATGGACGGGACCACACCAAACAACTGTCGACATGCATTTCCCCAGCTGTGTGTGTCAGGTTACTTGGTATAAACCTGGGGCTACTGGGTGACACATTGTTTGAAGTGGTAGCCCACTCAGAATAGATACAATGATAATTGGGCAATCAGTGTATATGAGTGGCAGCTTAACGTTCTCATTCAATACATTCACGTAAATAGTCTGAGCAATAGGCGGTGAGTGCTGCAGGTAACGCCCACACGCGACGTGCTCTCATATATGTGTTTCACTCACCCATCAGACAATTTCTGCCGTTTGAACGTTCAATAAGTGTACTTGTCTTTCTTGTCTGTGATACCACCCCATCATAGTACAAACACATTGTGACCTGGAGTTTAGAACATGCATTTGAACAATAGGAAGACGTACACGAGGAAGGTTAAAGAAGGTGGGGCTTGGCAAAGGCTAATAGTGCACTAAAAATAGAACCACATAGCGTGAGTGTTAGATTGTGTGCTAGAAAGTGAAAGAATTCCCAATTGTTTGTTCTATTGTCATCTAACCACCGATGTCATCCGCCATATCTTGGTGTCCCGGTACTAGCACCCGTCTTATGTGTGTCAGCTGTCAACATTACATCGGCATGATGGCTTCTGTTTGCCTCTACATCTACATTTGTTTACTGACATCTTCAAGGTGGAGGCCTCCAACACTTGCGGTATACTTGGATGGAAAGTGACTCAAATCAACATAGCTTGGTTAGTTAATCTTATGACTGATTGCAATCATTCGTTACATAGACCAACCTACTCATTAGCTGGCCCTGAAGGTTCTAGAATAGCCTTGGAATCTACTGCCATTAAGATCTGTCCTCTGTTCCCCATTGGCTGCCACGTTTGACTGTGTGAGATGATAGGGTGACAATCACGCCAAGCTGTACTTGAATGTTATCTATGTGGACGAGTTTTTGTGGGGATTTAAACGAGGTTTCAAAAAGCTTGTGTCAATGTTTCCTCTAAGCTGGGATGAGATTGTATCAATGCAAACACTGGCTTGACTTGTTGGATAACAGGGGACTTGTTGTACTACGGCTCAGTATGTCGGGCAGTTGTACTGGGGTTTGCATATATAAAACATATGTTCATGTATAAACACGTATTGGGTTTGTATAGGGCATCTAGGCATGTATATTGTATTTGATTAATTTTTAAACTTGAACATTTTGTATAAGCTTTTAATTAATGTAATAACTTGAATTATTTCTATAATCTATAGTATAAGCATACTTATGTGGTGAGTGTTTATGTGGACGTCAACCAGTTTCAGTTAGAGCTATAAATAGCATGGCTTGAGGCAGGGTGAAAGGTTGATTAAAACTGAGGATTGCCCTGGTTACTTACATAGTGTCATGTGTATCGAGGACTTGGTACACCGACAGTCCTCGCGTGTTCTTTGACCTTATTTACGTCAAACAATTCTGTCCTTTACATACTGGCCTTGTGTAAATAGAGCTAAGATAAGAGGGCTTTAAAAAATGTTTCTTGTATTCTTGTTTGTTTTCGTGAGTATATATAGAATCGTCAACCCACATTTCAGACTAGATAATTTTTTTTTTGTTTATTTTAGAGATTGATTGTCATGAAGTAAGAGACTGCCGCCAACTACTGTATTGGACACATTTCGCTGGCTCTATGTGTCACCTCTCACCAGAACACGACTCGAGCCTAAAGAACGGCTTCCTGCAAATGAACTAACTACGTGAAGCGTATTTGTGTTTAGATAGTGACCTGTGCTGGTTTGACGTTGCCGCGGGGCCATGAGTACGGAGAATCACCTGAAGACGATAAGCTGTTGACTTGTACCTTTGGCATCAGTTGATGCGTTTGTTTTGGCCGGTTCCAGCGGACATCTGAGAAGCACGCCGAGAACGACGACGTTTCAACTACTAGAACTAGTGGGGAATGCTCACATTCCACTGACCTGTGACCCTGTTTTTATTCACTTCTTTCAACACTCGGTAAGTAGAAAATGTGGTTTTTGTCGGACTGTTGGAAGAATTTAGTTCAATTGATATAGCACTCTATAATTTATCCCCCCCCCTCCCCCCTTGTTGTCTATTAGTTATACCCGTTGTGATATACTAAAACTATAATAATTAAGATGGTTTTGTTGTTAATGACTTTTTGTGTAATGGCTATCGGGTGATACTTACTGTACGGATGTGTGACTGTGTTTAAAAAAAAACAACTTAAAAATGTCCACTAGTCGTTATTTTTTATCTTTTTTTTCTAAGGATCAAAAGTTTTAGTTTTTGAAAAAAAAACAAGAAGTAAAAAGATACTTTCTTTTTATATTGGTAAACGCCTTTTATTTTAATTGTTTCGAATTGGGACACGAGTCACGTGATGGAAACTGTCACACTTCTCCAAACATAGCTCACCACTTAATTAAAACCGTGAATAATTTCTCCTTTGTGTATTCCCACTTATTGAAATCTAAATTTAGACATTTAACCGTATCCCAGCCTTGCCATTAGCATCAGTCAATCAGATATGGAACAGTTCCACTGCCCCGTCTGTCTAGTGGTCAATCTCATCATATGGATGACCAGTGTGTCGGGGGAATCGCTCACTGTAAAGCCACCAATCCAGACCCAATATATCTGTGTGCTAGGGGAATATTGTACTGTTAAATTAGGTCTTCTGGCCCGCATAGTCCACCACCCTGTCAGTTAGCTGACTGTATTACAGCGGTTTTCAAACTGAGGGATGTAAATCGGTAAATGCGTATATTAAAAATATTTTTTTCTTGCCGGATGCACAATTAAACTTGATGAAATGACGTGTGTACTGTAACAGCTGTACCGACATCGGAGGTTTTTGTTTTGGGTTTAAAATTTACATACCCTAGGCGGTTACAATAATATATAGTCGGCATGGTTTTATTAATAAATATTAACATTTATGTACAACATTAAGTTTTATGGGATGAAAAGAATTTTACCATTTTCAAGAGAGACGCAGTAACAAAAATTTTGGAAACGGCTGAAATGTTGTGTGTTTAAAACCTATATCACTTTGATGAAGATGACTTCCTTATACAACTTAAAGGGGTTAAATACCAATATCACAAAGTTTGTATAAAGGACATACATACCCATCTCAAGCATAGCTACATCAATAATGGTTCATTGTTGCCTCAAGGGTAAGGCTCTCCGCCATCTTGTCAATTTATTGTAAACACTCTATCGCATTCACCATTGTGCAGCTGTTTTAGACTAGTTCTTTTGTGATGCAATCTTCAAAAGTAAAGTTACAGAGACAATCGTTTTGTTTGTACGTATCTCCTTTTAAAACTGCCTATATTCACGCCCTATAAATGTGAACCTGTTGGGACAATTTTGTGAAGCCTTCAGCTGATTCTTTCCCACACTCGATAGAAGAACGCTTGGCATTCATTGGCTTGAGAAATCATCCCCGGACACTGTTCAGTCAATACCTTCAGCTTTCATTATGTCGTCGTGAACAACTTGATTCTTTATCCGACACATACACAATATATGGTCGAACAGAATATAAGTCATACTGGGACTTCACATTATAATCATTGAATAAGATGATTTAAAAATGATGTCTTAGAAGGTCATGGTAGGTAAGTTTTTTTAAAGTTGTGTTTTGGTTGAGAGAAGTGTAGCTGTACCAGGGTGTCAATGTAGGTGTGTGAATTATGCGTTTTACTAGCGAGAATTGTAGCTGTTGCAGTGTGGAATGATGGGTTTATGTTACCAGAAGTGCTGTAAATAGAAAAAAATACGTTATAAAGTAAAATACCATTTCGAACCCGAATGTGTATGGGGCAGTTGAAATAAGTTCACTAGTTGCAGTGAATCTGCGTGTCCCATAGGACTGGTAACTGGAAGTTTCGAGTTCCAATCCCGGGTTCTTGTCCGTAGAATGTCCCTGAGTCCACCCAGCTCTAACGGGTAGGCCTACCTGACTCGCGTTAGTTAGGGAAGGTAAGGGCGGCTGGTCATAGTGCTGACCACACCATCCCTTTCTAGATGCCGAGAGATGTGTTTAGTTGACATCATTATGTAGCAGCAACGCGGGGCTGTAACACGTGACAGATTACCATGAACCGCCTACAGCTAACAGGGGTAATTTCACGCTTGACCAGACATGAACGTGCGTCATGCGGTATGAATCCCGTGCTATTTCATTAAGAAAGTTTAATCCACTCCCACCTCCCCCCCCCCTTTCAGATGTAATCGTTCTTGATGAAAAATACTATCTTTATGAGCATCTTTTAGGGTGCAGTTTTTTTTTTTGCCTTGAGATAATTTAGCTACTACCGTCTGTTGAAATAATGCACAGTCACGAAATGCACACAGTTTTAAAACAAACTTTAAGTAAGGATTAATTTCCAGAGGTAGATCATGACCTTTGTACGTAGTCGGGTCGTTATTTGTATTGGTGAGAGGAGGGTGGATACCAAGTTATCTCTTGTGTTATCTAACATGGCTGGTCGTTGTTTGAAGATAACATTTTAGTAACACCTGCACCCAACTGATGGACTCTAGCTCTATACCATCTGACATCACTCGCTTAACATCGTATTAATTATACACTTGTTGATACTGGTCAAGTTTATTACCTCACTTTATTTTTCTTTTTAATTAAAATAATTACACATTCAGGCATATATTTATAATTAACGTACGTAAATAAGCTTGTTGTAATGCGTTTTTGGTGAATAAGCTTGTTGTTATACGTTTTTTTTTTTGGGTACATAAATAGCCGACAAAAGCGCTGAAATAGCTGAAATAATGAGAGCAAATGCACTTGAAATGACATTTGTTCTGGAGGAGAAATTTCTGTTACGCTCCATTTAACACAAGCACACCGTGTTACATGATATTGAAATGTTTGTGAAAACCCTCATAAAGTGGAGGGACGTTAGCCTCTAACTTTATAACTTAGAGTATGACCTTTACTTAAGCGAGGTATCCTTGCTGCATGCATGCTGTACATTTCCACAAATGTTCATTTCTTACGATATGGTACACACATACAAACAGAAGTTATTTGAACAGCAAAAAAACCTTGCCCCCAGAAAGTAGTGTAGATAAACTGAGTACTGAGGCCTGTTTGTTTAAGGTCAAGCCACCACTTTGATTAGGTAACTTGTTTATAAAGGAATGCAGGCGCATCAGCTACTATTGACGTAGGTATGTGTCTTGTCAGTACATTACTTTGTCGTTAGGGTTAGAAACGTTATCAATGTAAAAATGTTAACGTGCTGAAGTGGTTTTATCAGCTCTTCAAATGTAGGTGTAGCTACTAATTTGAATGTATTAGCCTTATCTAGCTGGTAATAGCTGGCCAAGACTCGCCGCCAAGTGTCTCCTTATCTAGATATTGAAAGAAAAACAAGAGATAGATAACTTGTGACTTGGGTGTACTGACGTACCTGGCCTCCATAAACTCGGGAGGCCGACTGTTTCCTACCGTTGGTCGGGTGTTTGGGGTCCTACCGTTGGTCGGGTGTTTGGGGTCCTACCGTTGGTCGGGTGTTTGGGGTCCTACCGTTGGTCGGGTGTTTGGGGTCCTACCGTTGGTCGGGTGTTTGGGGTCCTACCGTTGGTCGGGTGTTTGGGGTCCTACCGTTGGTCGGGTGTTTGGGGTCCTACCGTTGGTCGGGTGTTTGGGGTCCTACCGTTGGTCGGGTGTTTGGGGTCCTACCGTTGGTCGGGTGTTTGGGGTCCTACCGTTGGTCGGGTGTTTGGGGTCCTACCGTTGGTCGGGTGTTTGGGGTCCTACCGTTGGTCGGGTGTTTGGGGTCCTACCGTTGGTCGGGTGTTTGGGGTCCTACCGTTGGTCGGGTGTTTGGGGTCCTACCGTTGGTCGGGTGTTTGGAGTCCTACCGTTGGTCGGGTGTTTGGGGTCCTACCGTTGGTCGGGTGTTTGGGGTCCTGCCGTTGGTCGGGTGTAAAGGGGTCCTACCGTTGGTCGGGTGTTTGGGGTCCTACCGTTGGTCGGGTGTTTGGGGTCCTACCGTTGGTCGGGTGTAAAGGGGTCCTACCGTTGGTCGGGTGTTTGGGGTCCTACCGTTGGTCGGGTGTTTGGGGTCCTACCGTTGGTCGGGTGTTTGGGGTCCTACCGTTGGTCGGGTGTTTGGGGTCCTACCGTTGGTCGGGTGTTTGGGGTCCTACCGTTGGTCGGGTGTTTGGGGTCCTACCGTTGGTCGGGTGTAAAGGGGTCCTACCGTTGGTCGGGTGTTTGGGGTCCTACCGTTGGTCGGGTGTAAAGGGGTCCTACCGTTGGTCGGGTGTAAAGGGGTCCTACCGTTGGTAGGGTGTTTGGGGTCCTACCGTTGGTCGGGTGTAAAGGGGTCCTACCGTTGGTCGGGTGTTTGGGGTCCTACCGTTGGTCGGGTGTAAAGGGGTCCTACCGTTGGTCGGGTGTTTGGGGTCCTACCGTTGGTCGGGTGTAAAGGGGTCCTACCGTTGGTCGGGTGTAAAGGGGTCCTACCGTTGGTAGGGTGTTTGGGGTCCTACCGTTGGTCGGGTGTAAAGGGGTCCTACCGTTGGTCGGGTGTAAAGGGGTCCTACCGTTGGTCGGGTGTAAAGGGGTCCTACCGTTGGTCGGGTGTAAAGGGGTCCTACCGTTGGTAGGGTGTTTGGGGTCCTACCGTTGGTCGGGTGTTTGGGGTCCTACCGTTGGTCGGGTGTAAAGGGGTCCTACCGTTGGTCGGGTGTAAAGGGGTCCTACCGTTGGTAGGGTGTTTGGGGTCCTACCGTTGGTCGGGTGTAAAGGGGTCCTACCGTTGGTCGGGTGTAAAGGGGTCCTACCGTTGGTCGGGTGTAAAGGGGTCCTACCGTTGGTCGGGTGTAAAGGGGTCCTACCGTTGGTAGGGTGTTTGGGGTCCTACCGTTGGTCGGGTGTAAAGGGGTCCTACCGTTGGTAGGGTGTTTGGGGTCCTACCGTTGGTCGGGTGTAAAGGGGTCCTACCGTTGCT